GTTGTACTTTAAGGATGTCTTAACATGGATTTTTAATGTTGTAGCAATAGTAGCTTTAGTTCATAAAGAGGTTCTAAATATGTTTTCTTTCTACTTTGCAGTTGACATTGAATTCTAACCAAAATCTAAAGTCAGGTGGGAGGAACTATATATGCCTCTTGATTAAAAGGCTTTGGTTTGATTAATCTGGGTTTACTTTTAAAAAATCATAAATAGCTAGAAGAGATATAATGAAACTACCTCTCTAAAGTACATTTTAAAGATAAGATGCCAAATTTTTCTTTTCCTGGGATTTTGCAACCAGATATTGTTTCTCTTTTTTGGTTGTTTATTTCCTTTTTATGTGTTTTCCTTTTTAAAACAAAATATTTTTTTGAAATATGCAAAGAATTGGAGCTGGAAAACCAAAAGGGAAGAAAATCCTATTCTTGGCATTTTTTACTGAGAAAACTATAATGAAATATGCAAAGAATTGGAGCTGGAAAACCAAAAGGGAAGAAAATCCTATTCTTGGCATTTTTTACTGAGAAAACTAAGAACAAATTCAAGCCTCAAGTTGAAATACTAAAGGACAGATTCTATGGCAAAATCTTGAACTATGCCAGAGGTATCAAAAGAAGATAGAAGGCGGCAGCCTCAGCAACAAGATGTGGTAGTGAAACAGACAGTTGGAATTTGAGTGAGATAAAAGCAACCGTCTACACACACCAGGGAGCTGCCTGCTGGAGTGAGGCCTGTGCCAGGAAGCTCCCTGCTGATGCCAGGCCTGCACCAAGAAGCTGCTTGCTGATGCCATTCTCATGCCAGGGAGTTGATTGCTGAGGCCATGCTCGTGCCAGGGAGCTGCTAATGCATGCATTGGGGAGTAACATGCCAGGGAACATTGATCTGTGGCAAGCAGAAAAGCTGGAATCTGAATTATTTGAGCCCAGAACTCCAGTCATGTCATTGCTGGCACATACCCAGAACTCCTGTCCTGATGCCGCCTGTCCACGCCCAGAGCAATGGTCCTGACACGAACCGGGAGTGATGCTGGAACTTGA